AATTTGATATACCTTTTTGATTAATAGGAAGAAAAAGAGGGGATCAATCCTTAGTAGTAACGACCCCTTAGGAGAGAAAAATCTTTGAAAAGAATTCTTTGTAATGAATGAATCTTATTCCCTTTCACTAGAAAAACTATTCTCATATCCTTGATTAAATAAGAAAAATTCTAGTGAGTAGTTTTCATGAGCTTTTTGAGATATTTTATTGAATATAAAACAAAATTTCTTAGTTTTTACTTGTTCTTTAAACTAAAAGAATAGGGAGCACATAGTAAGGGGAGAATCTTTCAATTTATCTTTGATGCTCATTCACATGTTACATATATGTGCTTTGAAAATTAAGTTTCATCATCCATGAAAAAGAGAGGAACTATCGAACTAAGATGATTGATTTTGATGAATGACATAAACTTATTTTTGTATTAATGATATCAATTGAGTTTCTAAGTTTTTAAATATGTTGTAACTCAAAAAAGTAAAATAAATTATAAAAGACTATAAGAGAAGAGAAATAAATTGAAGGCCAAGTGTAATTTTTTAACTTACTTATCTTCAATGTAAATTATATAACTCAATCTTGATAGCTCTTATTTTTATTTTTCACTCATGAATCTCTTTAAAAAGTTTATTTTTTTTAGAAAATAAATTTTCACTCTTTTTGTAGAAGATAATTTAATAAAAAAAAATTTTAAAATATATATTTTCAAATGGAGGATTATAAGAATAAGGAATTTTAAAATATAAAATATTTTAAGAAAATTTTAATTGGTATCTCACTGGGAATGATTTCTAAAACAGACTAATTAAAATTAATTTGAGGTGCTGAGGGACGAACATCAATAGATTAGATGCATCTTTTTTAAGAATGTAAAGATTATATATTTGACTAGTGCAGAAATGAGTGCCATATGTGAAGTCATGAAGTTATCATTTACAATAATAGTGGAATTATTATTATTTTAATATATTCTTTAAAATAATTATTAAAGTACATTCATAAGCAACAATCATTTATTGTATTTAGTATAATTTATACTAAATAAATAAAAAATTCAATAAGATAAAAAGAATATTGATGAATTAACATATTTTTATATTCAAATATAAATAATATATTACTTCACTATTTTATGAATTAGTTTATATATAAGTAAAATGTCAATAATATCATGTACATATGTACGTACACAATATCACGTAGACATAGAGATTCACGCTTTTTTGAAAGTTAAGAAATAAATTAAAAATCTACTAAAACTCATTACATAGATATGAAGGAGATGCATCTCCCATGGCACATACCCAGGGAAAGTCACATAGAAGATAAAACAAGGAATAGTCATGGCATACAATGTTGAATAGAAACAAAGAAAAACAAAAGGCAATAACGTTGGGTTTTGTCCAGCCCACGTGGAAATTAATAAAGAAAGAGGACAAAAAAGGGAAGGCTGCAATATTTGGGGGAAACGGTTTTCACTTCCCTATGTATGTGTGTATATATATATATGCAGAAATTGAAAAGAAAAAATGGCATTCAATTTTTCCTCTCACACTCTCTCACAGAAATTGAAAAAAAAAACACAACATTAAAAATTGGTCCTCTCTCTCTCTCACGCATGCAGATCAAGAAGGGGAGAAAAGCTTTATTTTCAGAAAAAGGAAAAGAAAAGCAAAACAGGTTTAAATTTGGTTCATCTCTATGTATGGGCACCAAGGAAAGAAAAAAATAAAGGGCTTGTTTGGTTACATGCACATAAATCGATATAAGAAAAAATATTATAAAAGTTTGGTAATTTTCTTTGGTATTTTTTAATCAATTTTTGGAGGATTATTGTCTAATTTCTTGTTGTGACCATTCAAGAGGAATTGAGTTTGGTTAGGGAAGAATTTATGTATTTTCTCCAAAATATTGTGTACTTGATTAGTTTGATAGTGGACTTAACTCGAAATTTGACTCGTCGTTTTCCCCTCTATACTAGAGGGTTTTCCACGTAAATCCTGTGACTTATTATTTTTGTGATTGGTACTTTATTTTCATTGGTATTGATTTACAAATTGATTGGTTTAGAATAATAAATTGGAATTTGTGGATTAATTTTGGTGATTGCTTTAATTTACATAAGTACGATTAGAATATTTAGAAAACCAAACAAATGATATAAGAGAAAGGTTGATTGGTTTCTTGGTTGATTTGTGGTCTCAGATTAATTGTTTGAATTAGGATGGAGGAATTTGCTGGTACAATGATAAAATTGCCTTTTTCAAAGTAGTCAATTTTGAAGTTAAGGATGAAAGATCTTCTTTATTCCAAGGATTTATATGATTCTATTAAGTTAAGAACTATTAAGCCAATGGGAAAATCAAATGATGATTGGGAAAAAATACATAGAAAAACTATAGGAACTATCCAACAATGGGTCGATAATAGTGTATATCATTACATAAACAAATAAGTAAATACACAGGTTTTGTGGAATAAATTGGAAAATATGTTTAAGAAGAAAAATACTCGAAATAAAACTTTTGTCATTAGAAAGTTTGTCAATATAAAGCTGAAAGGTGGACAATTAATTGCAAAGCACTTGAGTAAATTTCAAGAGTTAGTAAATAAGTTGAATATAATGAAAATAACTCTAGATAATGAATTTCAGGCATTATTACTCTTGAGTTTCTTGCTAGATAGTTGAGAGATCTTAGTGGTGTCTCTTAGTAATTCTACGCTAAGCAGTATTTTATCTTTTTCTATGGTAATAGATAGTCTGTACAATGAAGATACTAGAAGAAAAAATATGGGTATTAATCCCTCATAGGTCCTTGTCATGAAGAACAGGGGTAGAAGTAAAAGTAGAGATCCTAAAGGAGACAATAAAAAAAAATTCAATTGTTATCAATGCGACAAAGAAGGGCATATAAAAAGAAACTGTAGGGTTTGGAAAAAAGAGCATAATAGTGAGAGAAAAA